ATCCGAAGGAATTAGGTCTAGCCGTTTGACCGCCGTGTCAATAGTCCTCGACTTCAAACCCTTACAACCTCACAAACCCTAATTTTTACAAATGCCTCGCCGCAGGCTAAATTACAATTTTACCCCTAGCATTAGGTCAAAGAGCCGCCGTGCTCATTTTAGGGTTTCCCGCCGTGGAATCCCTAATCTAACCCTAATTCACTTAACAATTTACAACGTAGATATTGGAGTTTCTACACTCCACGTAAGCGTGTCCTTAAGATGCGTTTATTCCCCTTGAGACCTTGACCACAGTCAAGAAGTCTCTAACCTCCCTTTTGAGGGGAACTACGATTACTCTGATTCCACTCCCGTAAGGATACGTAGGCACAAGATGCGATGTCTTGCCGAGTAAACTTAGAATTAACCCCTTAGGTTTATTTTCTCGTTCTTAATCCCTTTGTACACATAACTTAAGCAAATAAAGCAAATAGTAAACATTTGAACAAAAGGTTCCTGTAGAGTACTACAGAAGTTTAGGGTGCTAATACCTTCCCTAAATTTAACCAACCCCCGAACCCTAGATCTTTCCCCGCATTGTGTTTACGATGCAAAAATAGGTTTTCCCTCTTTTGACCTTTTCCTTCGGATAAATCAAAGAGCGGTTGTGAATTGAATTGCGATTCAAACTCATTAATAGTTTGTGATCCTATTTCCACCGCAACAAGTTTGAATCAAAAGTCTTGAAGATTTAGGGAGATAATGTAAAGTCAAGCTTCTCAATATATTTTAATGAAGACAACAACACTCAACAACCAAGTAAAGTTCTCAAAAGGAAAATGACTCAAGACTAGTAGCACAATTCAAGTTTCAAGTTGAATAAAAAATCTTGAAGATTTAGGTGATTGATCATGAATGACAAGGTATATGGCACTCAAGTTGTCTTTGTGTATACAAGTGTTCAAGTTATCATTCATTTTTGTCATGATTCATTGAAGTATGTTTTTAAGAAAATCTTTGCCTTTCATCTCATTTTTTGAAGTATTTTTCATTTCTGGTCTCTGGTTAATCGATTAACTAGTTTGATGTTCAAAGCTGTTAATCGATTAACCTTTGCAATTTTAGAATATTTTGACCCATTGCTGAAGTGTTAATCGATTAACCAATTTGCAGTGTAAACCTATTAATCGATTAACACTGAAGCAATATTTGAAAATATTGCATTTTTTCAGTCAAATGATTTTCAAAAGTGAATCTTGAAGCATGGCAACCTTTCATTTGTTACACTCATCTGTAGAGGTGCATTGTGTCTATATAAACACCATTATTTTCAGAATTTAAATTCACCTCCTTTACAAAATCTTAAAGCATTCCAATTCTCTCCATCTTTCAAATTTTGCACAAGTGTTCTAACAACCAGAATTTTATTTTGGAAGAAACTCTTGCATAAACTTTCAACTTGCATATACATAGTTTCATCCATATAATATTGAACACTTGTATATCATTGATAAATTGTTTGTTCAAAGGAGAAGATCAATTAATAGGTTGATAAGTGTATACTTCATATCATACTCTTGTATAAAATTTCAGAATTATTGTTATATCCTTGTTGTCCAAGATTTTTGGAAGCAAGAGGTTCATTCAAAGAGAGGATCGTTCTCTTAGTGAACTTTTGTAAAAATCCAAGAGGATTGTTCTTGGTTTGTTAGTGATAGGAAGACTAGGATAAGTTTCGTATAGATTCTAACAATATTAAAAATCACTTTCATGTTGAAAGGGGACTAGAGTACTCTCGCACTGTGAAGAGAACTAGAATATCTCTCAGTGTTTTTTACTTTCTGCACTTTATCGCTTTCATCACTTAGTAATTATTCAGGAAAGAAATCACAACATAAGTTTAAAACCAAAAAAAAATTCAAAGTACCTAATCACAACATAAGTCTATATAAACACTATTATAACTAGCGTTCAGACGGGCACTCCCGTGCCCGTCTGTCCGCTTTTTTTTTAATGCGCACAGTATAGAAAAATAAACGTGTGTATATTTTGTATGGAGTTTTTATCATACTTAGGATTAAAAATAATGTTTTTAGATATCCTTGAGTAATCTTAAAATGTGCACATGTTTTTTTAGTGCGCATACGTTATGGGCAAATCACTCCTTTATCGGGAGAATCTATATAGTATAACCTTCAAAGGGAGAGAAGTTTTCCTTCTGGTTATTGTTATCTCATGTCAAAGGTCCAACTAATTGGAAATATCTTCTTACAAATAATGACAATTTGTTTAATACATTTAAAATTTCAGTTGAGACTACGACTCTTCAAATACCATATGCTTTAAGGAGGTAATTTGTGACAGAACTAATATTTTGTGAACCTAGCTCTATATCAATCATAGTATGCTTAATTTTAATAACTTTTTCCAATCAAAAAAATCGCCTATATATTTTATTATTATTCTAAAACATGTAAGATATCAAAATTATTTGTTGAAAATTTTACAATTACTTTGAATATTCATAATGCAGATTTAAATTAGCATGAACATCATTAAAATAAATAAACACATTTTCAACATATTAGAGGCAATGGTGACATCAAACGTACAAATTCTAACTATAAGCATCAAGCTAATATTTAAAATAAGTGATTTACTTTGATTCGATAACTAAATTTTGTAATTAATTTTTAATGGATTGTTGAAATGGAATTGGAGACCATATTTATTTATTTAATAAAAAACAAAAAATAATCTATTAATTTATAAATTGTTATAAAGAAAATCAACACCTTAAAACAAAATTTAAAATTTTGTAGACCAATAAGTACACAATTAATCTCCACTAAAATTAAAAAATATATATATTTGTGGAGTGAAATAAGATATCAAGTGTTCCTTTACAATTATTTTTTGGCAAAATAATTTGTAACGCCTAGCCATTTCTGTATCTTTGTTAAACTCTCTCTTTTTCCTTGAATATACAAAGCTGAAAGCAAATAAAAAATATGATAAATACATAATTGAATAGTATTTTACATGAACAAATTGGTTTTAGGGTGAGTGTCTCACCCAACTTGAAAAATTATGTCACTACATTTAGAAAAGTATCCTATGACCTTGGCTTTTTCAGAATTAGGCCATTAGCTTGTCTACGTGGTAGCATTTCTATGTGATAGCATTCTCATTATTGTTTTGGATATATGTGCTCCCTCACTTCCTTCTTATATAACACTTTCCATTTTACTTACAATCCAAATAAATTTAAACTCATTTTTATCTTCGCCCTATTTTCAACATTTGATCACAGTTCATTCTTTTTCTCTCATTTCCTTAACCTCTCTCCTCTTTATGACAAATCAATAATAATAATAAAATTGAAAAGATACAAAATCAAATTTAAAAAGGATTGTTGAGGCAATTTCTCTACATAGACAACTTTGTCTTTGACTCTTTCTCTCTCGACTTGAATAGCATTCACAGTCACAAAAATTGTACATAATAAAAAGAATAAGTCAATAAATTAAAAGTACAAAAACATAAGACATATTCGAAACTAAAATGGAACAAACATATACAAATTTCAACATCAAAACAATCAATTAAAATACATTGACATAAGAAGAACGAAAGTTATGATAGAGATTGCAACCATAATATAGAAGACAAAAAAAAGGAGAAAAATAAGAGATGTGAGAAGAATTGGAAGTTCCATAAACCTTTGCAACATGAGCGCTCTTATAAATTTTCATTTAAAAAATTGGTTATGTTTAATTCGGAGAGAAAATTGTCCATTGGATCCTTGTTTTGCTTTTATGACATTTATATGTTCTTATCTTTCTCTTTTTTATAACTTTCAGATAGTTATTGTATGTCTATCTCTTCCACAATAACCTTTAGGTGCTTATTGTATATGGAAGTTACTTAAACTAATGCTTTGAATTGTAAAATATAGTATGTTGATTGATTGGAAATATGTTTCATCTCTCTTCAAGAATAAAAAGATCATTGATCAAAATTAAATAAATGAAAAAATTATAGAATGAAATTTTTTATTTAAAAAAATAGTATGTTGATTGAGAAAGAGATGAAATTAAAAAAAAAAGAAGAAATAGAAGATGTTTCTTAACTTGTGTCGCAATTGACGATTAATGGAAGTTATAGATGTAAGTTTTTTTTTTAGAGATAGAAGTTAATTATTCAATTGGTAACCAACAAAAGTTACCAACTACTCAAGTTATTTATAAAAAAGATAAGGGTAATTTTGAAAAAAAAATAGGCCACGCCAAAAACTTGTATCCCCTTATATATAGTTATAGATTTAGATATGAAGAAAAAAAATAGAGAATAGTAAAAAATATCATGATAGATTTGCCAAACAATTACACACCCTTTTTTCCTATAATTTTAATTTAGATAAGTTGTTTTAAAAACCTTAATATGATTTGATAAATTTTAAAGTTTTGACGAATTGTATTGTATGCATAAAATTGTTATGCACTGTCTATACATTACTTTTATTCTCTTAAATTTATGTTAATTTTAAAATTTTGATATTCAAAAATATTTATAAAATACGTAAAATAATAATTATTAAAATTACTTTTTTATTTGAAATTAAAGATAAAACATGTAACACGATAAAATATACTTTTTGAAAAAGCCAGCCTTAAATCTAAAACTAAGACGCGTTAAAATATTATTCCCAGTCCCAAGTCCCAACCTTCTAAGCACGAAGCGGCGTCGTTTGTTAGTGCCCGAAACAAGTCCACACCCAATTCCAAGAGACGAAAGCATATCCGTGTCCTCGGATCCACTCACTAACCCTGGTCAATTCCTAACCCAACCATAGTTACTCCACCTATCTCAAAACCCCCCACGTGTCTCAATCCAACGGTCACCGCCGAAGATACTCAGAAGCACGCGCTGTTATAAATACCTACCCTCGTCATTCCCAATCTCCCAAACCCTAACCATTTTCCATTTCTGTGATTCGATCGATTCTCTAACCCTAAACCATGGCAAACCCTAAAGTTTTCTTCGACATGACTGTCGGTGGCCAACCCGCGGGACGCATCACCTTCGAGCTCTTCGCCGATGTTACTCCCAGAACCGCTGAGAATTTCCGTGCTCTCTGCACCGGCGAGAAAGGAGTCGGTCGCAGCGGTAAGCCACTCCACTTCAAGGGATCCTCCTTCCATCGTGTGATCCCTAACTTCATGTGTCAGGGAGGTGACTTCACCGCCGGAAACGGCACCGGAGGAGAATCGATCTACGGTTCCAAGTTCGCTGACGAGAACTTCATCAAGAAGCACACCGGTCCTGGAATCTTATCCATGGCGAACGCCGGTCCCGGAACCAACGGATCTCAGTTTTTCATCTGCACTGCCAAGACCGAGTGGCTCGATGGGAAACACGTTGTGTTCGGTCAAGTTATCGAGGGATTGAACGTTGTGAAGGAGATCGAGAAGGTTGGATCTGGCTCTGGCAAGACCTCGAAGCCTGTTGTGATCGCCAATTCTGGTCAACTCTCTTAGATGTTGACTGTTGTGGCGTTTTCTATCTGGTGGCTCTGAATTTTAATTTGATCTATATTCTCTAGTAGTGTTTTGTTATTCGGTGTCGTTTTATTTTTATTGTGTTAGGGTTTGTGGTGGTGCTACTCTATGGATCTTATTGAACCCCCTTCCTTTTAATTTTCTGTTACTGTTACTATCCGTATGAATTTAGTAGAGTGAGTTGAGTCTTGTTATGGCGAACATATAAATGATGAGCTACCTTCAATAAATTAGGAATTCTTCATGAATCTCTTATCTGTTCTAAGTTTTTCTACTTGCGTTATGAATTATGAATGAACTGTTTCGTTTTGCTTTATTTTTTAAATCAATAATATAAACTAAACGACTGTTTTGCTTGTTTTAAGTTTTTATGTAAAGCCTTTTCGTTTGCACTTTATTTCATTATTGATTTTTATTTGTAAAGTAGTACTAGTAGCATTTTGCCATACTTCACTTAAACACGTGATTCAAATTATTGTTGGTGATGGAGGACACGATTTAGTGTCTGGTAGTGAAAGGACAATTGGAAATATCTTTAAAGATGCTTCCGCTAATAATCAATCTACTATAGGATGCGGCATACTACAACCGCAAAATTTTCTTGCACTAGTTTTTACTTCTATGATACGCATTTTATATTTTTTGTTGTTGAATGAGTAAACAGAACCTTACACTTCGACTTCTTTATATGATTTCAAGGGTGTCAGTAGTTTAATTAGAAAAAAACAAAAATGAAAAATCAATAAAGCTGTCAAATACAAATTGACTCATGCGCTTCGATAGTAGTGTGTGGACATTATGGGATGTCTAGAATGAATGACAATAACCCTCTATATTTTGTCACTTTATAGACGTAATGGTTGTTAAGTTCAAAGGAGATTGGGTTGAATTGAAGATGCCAAAACCTTTCAACATCATCGAGAGATTCATCACACCACTGGTGTTGAAGGGTTGGTACAATCCAAATAAGGGTGGAGTAGGATATTAATTTAACCGAAGACTTTTTAAGTTGTACTTGATTAATTTATTTATGAGACAAAAATCAAGTAATTTATACGAAACAAACATCAATATTAAATTTATTTATGAGATTGAATAATTTATACTTCTAGGGTTAAAAATACAAACCTTTGTAATATTAGCGGTAAAAGATATTCTTTTAATCCCCCATCCTAGATTCTTTTAAAAACTCCTCAAGTCTCATTTTTTTTTTAGTGAATCACACTCAAAGATACAATAGAGTTGCCACTGAGAGACATTCATCACACCATTCTGTTTGCTTTTAGATTTGAATGTGTTATCTATCTAAAGACACTAGTTAAGGAGGGAAGGGAAAAAGAGAGAAGAAAGTGCTTGCGGAGGATTGAGACCCTCGTGTATATGTTTTTTCATAGTGCAATGCGGAATTCATAGCTCCGTAGTTCATAGAACCAAAGAAGAGAAAAGAGGAGGCTCTGGACGAAAAAGAGAGAATTGAAAAGATTTTGGACGGACAAGAGATAAAGAAAAGGAAAAAGTTTCTCGCCAAGATCTTGCGATCTCATGCCTACGTGTCATCACAGTGCAATGAGGAAATTATAGCCTACGTAGTTCGGGGAACTAGGACGGAGAAAGAAAAGGAAAACGGTGTCAAATTCAAGAGGGAAATACTCCACTGGGAAAGACAACAGAATGATGTTAAAACCAAGAAGGAAAGACAAAGGAATAATGTTGAAACCAAGAGAATAAAGGAGCAAAGAAATTGACTCAAGATAAGGTAAGATCCACTGGTGATTCGTATTTTAACTAACAGAATGTGATTAATCGAAGCAAGAGAAGATATTGACTATGCGGGAAAAGAAGGAAATTGATTTTAACAGACAGTCTGTGATCAACCAGAAAAAGGGGAGTATTGAACCAAGATGAGGTGTTTGACTTTTCGGGAATTCGACGTGTTAACTGATAAACAATGGTTAACCGAAAAGTGAAAGAAATTGGTCATATGATTTCTAGCAGAGGTATCGTTGTTGACCCTTCAAAGGTTGATGTTGTGTTACAATATGAAGTCTGTTACTAAGATTTAAAGTTTTCTTGGGTTGACTGGTTATTATCGCAGGTTTATTGAAGGTTTTACTAAGTTAACATTGTCATTAACTCAGCTAACAAGGAAATGTCAAACTTTTGTTTGAGATGCATTGTGCGAAGAATGTTTTCAAGAGCTTAAGAAGAAGTTGATGTCAGCTATTGTTTTGATTTTTCTGAGTTTGGAAGAGTCTTTTGTTGTATATTGTAATGCTTCTTTAAGGGGTCTTGGAGGTGTGTTGATGAGAAATCGTCAAGCGATAGTGTTTCCCGTGAAAATTGAAAAACAACCGCTGACCTTCCAAACTTAACTTTGGTGATTCACAGGATCGACCAGATTGATCCTAGGACATGTGCTAAATTCTAATTTAAAGAAAAACACTAAAGACTAAACAGTTCGACAATGTTCATAAAGAAAAAGTTAATTCAAGTGTATGATTCGACAATAATGTAAGAACGTTAAATTGAAAGAAAAGGTTAAAGACTTCAATGGAAAGGCTTAAAAGAGACAAGAAATAAGGCTGAAGATGTAAATTGCAGAAAAATAAAAGATAAACTCTTTTAATACAAAGTGAAAGTAAATTTCATTAAAGCATGAAATGGTGTTTTACATCACATACATTCTCCCAAGACTCTTTTTTTTACACACGGATACTCTGAGTAAATTTGGAGTGACTTGTACAATAGTAAACACAACACGCCGAATTCTATTGCTAAACCCCTATTTATAATAATAAAAGTAACTGCTGTTAACTTCCTAAGATAATCAACCCCTGACAAGTGTCGCGCTGCATGCATCTGCCTCTTGGATGTGCGCCACTTGTCTTATTCAGGAGTGAGAAAGAATAACTACTCTCTCCTTTATTTGAATTTCAAATTCTGTTAGTATTGGACAACATTCTCGGTCGAAGGTAACTTCTTCAACCTTAGAAATATTTTCTAAGTCCAAAAAAGTCTTCCTTTCTTTTGTGAGTGTTTTCGATTTTATTTATTGTAAAGACCCTGTCGAAGACTTCTATGCACCACATCAAGAATTCAATATCCCAACCAATACTTCCAATTTAACGTGGGCTCAAATTTCTAAGCTAACAAATTGCCCCCCAAAAATGTCCTTTTCGACAGTGCTGAAGAAAAATGTCATTTTTTGATAGTGTCCCATTCGACGCCATCTTTCGACCCCATGTAAGTGTCAATGTAACTGACCAATCCATGATTGAAGAAACTATTCAGTTTCTTTTAAGACACGTCTATGACGTCATGGCCAATTATGAAAACAATTTCTTGGAAATCCCACCAAATCCCAAACCATCATCACCTCTCCTAGGATCTATGAGATCGTGGGCATAGGTAATAACTGCAAACCGCCCCCCACTTTCGCTCCTGGGACGCCACGTGTCCCACTATCGTTTAACCCTTAATGATGAATAGTGACCTTTTATTACTTCCAGAAGTTTTATAAGTAATCTCCTAAAAAACTATTTTTACTCTTTCCACTCCAAAGCAATCATTAAGCATCTCTTTCAAGCACTCTCAACTCTTTACCTTCAGTAAACCCAATTTCTCTAAACCCTTAACAATGGAATCTTCCACCGCTGCTACTCAAGATCAGAAGAAAAACCTAAAGGTTAAGGGGCCCAAGAATGTGTCGTTGCTTCCTCCCTTTGCTACACTAAGTGGATCCAAGGTGGTGAAGAACCAATAGTTCAGTCCTGAATCTCTCAGAGAAGAGAAGGGACACATCTACGAATCTCAGGTAATGATTCCCGTGACTGTTTCTGGTAAACCCCGCTTTAACTGGTCCTTTATCCACTTTAGGAGCATATTATTCAACCATTAGCGACTTCTCTCCTTCCTACCGTAAGACTAAACCCTTAGGGCAGAAAGATCAAACGAAGGTAGCCACTGAAGATCTTGATAGTATAGCCTTGCAAAACGTATACCTAAAGTATCTGAATGATGGGTCCAGGTTGTTTAGAGCAACTCCATACTTCAAAGATTCTGACCACTATTTGAACTGGTTGACCAAGGTAGAGAAAGTCAAGGAAGAAGCTTGGAAGAAAACTGGGATTTATGACTTGATCATGATGTCGAAGACATGGCCTACCTACTACCCCATTCTGCTAGCTTCTTCCTTGTACTTTTGGGACAATACCCATTATACCTTTCACTTTCCTTGTGGGATGATGACACCCACCCTTTTTGACTTAGTTGCTATCACAAGGCTAAAACCTCATGGATTAGTCTATGATCCTGAAGTGGATAATCAGGACATCATAGGGTTTTCCACCATCATGCACACGTATACCCACTTCATCAACCATTATCACAACAAACAAACAGACACGGTTGAAGACCAAGAACACATAGAATTTCTGGCTATGTGGCTTTCTCATTGTGTTTTCTGTACCAAATCTCTGCAGGTGGCAAGGAAGTATCTCACTCTAGCCAACCAACTACATCTGAATTAAGGCATTTTTCTAATTGAAATGATACTGCCCAGCCTATATGAACCTCTGTGTGAAGGTGCTAGTCGACTGAAGGACCAAGAGAGTCATGGGAATCTCTTGATGTTGGGACCTTTCTGGCTACTCCAACTCTGGCTTAATGCCACATTCGAGATTAGTCTTCTCAACAAAGGGACAATCGGCGAAGAAGACCCAGAAATAAAGGAGAGGCGAGTCACTCGACTAGTCAAGCTAACCCATAGTGAAGAGGGGCAGACACTTAATGCATCTATTTCTGGCTTCACCAAGATGTTTGCCAAAAGATACGAGTTTACACCAAGGATGGCACCGTTTGCAGAAAGGAAATATGGTCCTGAATGGTTTACTAGAGCCTTTCCTTCTGCATTCAAAAAACATGAGGTAGAGTCAACGCTTTTCTGGAAGGGTTTTCTGATCCCTCGACTCATCGTCCAC